ACCCCTGAGTCCGCAGGCCGACGCTCTATCCACTGAGCCAAACCGGTTAGGGCAATCATCAACTTATATCTTACATATCTTTCAAGACTCAGATTTTGTGTCATCTCTGAAGCCTCCCCCAGTGTTCATGATTAGACTTGTTCTCTTTCTTTTGGGTTCTCGTTGCTCTTTGTGTCTCTATAACAGTGCTAACAGCAGTATTCCCTGTGTTCCATTTTTATCTAGTGCTAACTTGCTTATTATGCTGTCACCTGTGAAGAGAGAGGCCTTTTATTGTATATTTCTGAATCTCTCACATAGTTCTTTTGCCATAATGTTTAATGAATGAATATTAGTGGGATGGACCTTTCAATGAAAATATTTTGCATGTTGAAAGTGAGTATAATACATAGAGAAGCAAGATCTTTTTTTACTTCCTGAGATAACAATTTCATTCTGAACAATTAGATAGTGAAATCTAGAATCTACCAACAGTAGGCACATAAGAGAACTAAGTGTCAGTATCTGGATGGAGAATTATTCAAGGTTAAATCAAGTCAGAGTGAACTTGCCATTTGCAGCTAATAGAATAAAACTACTCTCACACAGTGATCTATTGTCTTCATCACTCCATTTTTTACTTTGGCCTTCAACTCAGTGGATGGTCTATATAATCTATTGTTCACACTAACTAATGTACAATGAAGCTAGCTTCCTTTCCCCCAATAGCTGCTGATTTTTTTTTAAAAAAAGGAAGAACATTGATTTAATGGTTCAATGTTAAAGTTGATTTTATTGATTTTGAACTGGCAGTTGGTTAATTACAAACACAGGTGTCATGTTTTTGTGTTCTTGTCCCTGACTTGAATACTCAAATGTGACTCATACAAAAGCTGATGTCAACAAGACTCTTTTTCTCCGAGGATGCTGTGAGCAGTATCATAATGATTATTATTTTTATCACTTCTGTTTCCACCTCATGATGGGCATTTTATCTCAAATAACTAATGTCAAAATTATACATTTGCAACATAAACTAAGGTGGACTTTGTGTTGCATTGCTTCCATGGAATTTCAAAAATCATGTGTGTGGTGTGAGTTTCATTTGGAAATAATTTCTTACACTCCATTTTTTAAAAAAACATATTTTTATTGAATTAATAGAGGAAGGGAGAGGGAGAGGGAGATAGAAGCATCAATGATGGGAGAGAATCACTGATAGGCCTCCTGCATGTCCCCTACTGGGGATCAAGCCCAGAAACCCAGGCATGTGCCCTGACCGGGAATTGAACCGTGATATCCTGGTTCATAGGTCAATGCTCAACCACTGAGCAACTCTGGCAGGGCTACACTCCATTCTTGTCCTCCTTCTTCCTTCTTTGTTCCTCTTTCTTTTTCTCTTCCTTCTCACCTTCTTTCTCTTTGTCCTCCTTCTCCATTGCATACTTAGTTGCCAATTAGAGTAATAAATAGGAGTTTTCTTGTTCATAGATAAAAAAATAAGATCTGTAAAGGTGCTTTTGTTTTCAATCCAGTAAAATGTTCTAATGAGTATCAGATACTGGTTATGACAAATGGGGAATCTCCTGTCTAGGCTATATACATGCCTTTCAGGGCTCTAAGAAGGCATTTTTTATCAGGAAATTTCATTGTTTTGTCCTGAATTCAATCAGGACACCTAAGTGCTACTCTCATCTCTTCCATGAGCCACCTGTGTATCCTTGGGCCACTTTAACTCTGTATTTTGTGTTCCTGATATTTTTCCAGCTCTGTAACAAAGTAGAGGAGGGTTGTTGTGCTTCAGTATCCAAGTCAATTGGGAAAGCTGGGTATCCACATGCACAATGTGAATTGGTCTACATTTTGGAGCCAGTAAAATGTGGGGTGGGATCACACAAGAAACCTGATGCTGAACAGCTGGATTGCAACATGAATGTGTTTGAAGCCAGCCCCCACCATTGTGAGTGTGTCATAAGCATAGGGGGCTTTGCCTTTCTTAGAAGCTCCCAAAGGAAGGGTTATCTAAAGACTTTCCCAAAGCCTGGGTAAGGCAGAGAGGCTTGGGGTTGGAGGAGAGTAGATCATTGTAACAGCAATCACCAGAACAATATGTGAAAGCTTTGTTTTCCTACAATAGGATATCATGGTGTGTCACTGCAATGGCTGCTTTTGAGCTTTTGGTTTTTCTTCTTGGGAAGCAATTTCCACAAATACCTCCAAAATTAATGTTCTGGTGCCTTTTGGTGAAGTGTTGCTGTTTGAAGTATTTACTCAATTATTTTTATGGCTAGTACTTTTTGAGCTAATTTTATTATTTAAGTTTTCTTTTAAGCATCATCTGTTTCATCTAAGTTTTCAAACTAGTTGGCATAATTATGTAAAGAATAACTTCTGACTTCACAGTTATTGTTCCTTTCTTATTCCTAAATGTGTGTATTTGTTACCTTTCAAAACCTTTGGATGCTGGTTTCTACTTTCTGCCGCACTGATTTCTTCTTTCTTGTTTCTACTTTTCTGCCTTTGCATGCCCTTACAAAGCCGCCCCTCACCCCCCATTTTTTGTACATTTGAGGCAAAAACAGTCCTGGCTACATTCTCACTATGTGATAAGCCCTCTACCAGGAACCATTGATACAGAGGGAAGGATAGACTTAGTCTTTACATTCAGGAAACCTGTGATCTAATGGGAATGACTAGATGAGTACTCATGAAAATACAGGCAGGTCTTGAAACAAAGTGCTAAATCCTAGAGACTACTAGTGGAAAGACACTCAAGTATGAGGCTTTCCTCATTCATGATAAACACTAAAGGCAGCCAGTCAGGGTCAGGGGCAACCCCTTAAGGTCAAGGAGGTGTCATGGAGTAAACAATTCAGAGACACACAATGTATCCAAGTTAGGGGCTCCAGATTTTATTAAGCTAAAGTCCAAGGTATCAGTGGGAGTGTGCAGCAGAGTTTAAAACCATGTAGCTTCTGTCATTGGATCTGCTTTTAGGACAATATGCAGGGTACTTATTGAATGAACAGTGCCAGCCAGTGACTGGTTCACTTGCTACTAAATAGCTCCCATGGCACCTACATATTCTTCTATCTTACCACTCATTTACATCCTCTGTTTCAGTGTCTCTCACACTATCAGATTGTGACCTCCATGAAGTCATGGCCTGAGTGTTATTAATCTTTGTCTCCCCAGTGCATGGACAATCCCTAAGTGCTTTGTATTACCAACTGGCCAAAAGCACAGGCTTTGGAGTCATATCTGCATTTGTTTGGCTTCATCCCTTTCCACCTGAGTAATTTACTTATTGTCTCTGGGCCTCAGTTTTCTCATCTGAGAAATAGTGAAGATAATAATACTTACTTCTAAGATTTGTTGTGACAGTAAAATGAGGTGACAAATTTAGAAATACTTAACAGAGTGCCTGTCACAGAGTAAGCATTCAATTAGTGGTAGTTCTGATTATCATTACATGATTGTGGAATGAATGAATGAGTGAGAGACAAAGGGCTAAAGAAGGATATTATATTATTTGATGAGGTCAGAACTTAGGGTTAGAAGAAGCTTGATAGGAGCAACCCTGACAGTTCTCCAAGTCTCCTTTTCTCTTAACATCTCTTGGATGATTGGGAGGCTGAGAAAATGGGGATAATCTTTATGCATCTTTTGCTTTGTGTAAGGCTTACAATCATATTGGCTGAGGAAGAGGAGTTGAATAGACCAGGGATGGAGAATAATATTATTAATATAAACATTTTTCAAATGTAACATAGTGTACCCAACATGCCATTGTTAGTTTGTGAGCACTGTGCCTTTGGGTAGTCATTGCTGGTAGCTTAAATGGGTAGCTTAGAACAATTAGAAGCTTTGAACACTTTCAAACTAAAGATTGAGATAAGAATGTTTTGACTTCATGGTTTCTGGTGGGTTTTACCTGGTGTGCTGAACTAATTATCAGATGTAATTAGGAAAGCTGAGAATTGGGGAGACTGCAAGGAGCACCATACTTTCCCAGGGACCCTTGTTGCTTTATGCAGCAAAGGGGTTGGGAAGAAAGTCTCTCTATTTTGGACAAGCAGCAATGCATAGGGGACTAGAGGGTGGGAAGGATCCTGGGAACATGTCTTTACCAGAAGAACCTCAAGCATATGGGGATCCATTGCTCTTGATTAGGTTTTAAGTGGTCAGGACAGTTTCCCCCTTATTGTTCTTCAGGAAGGAATGGTATTCTGGGCTTTGACCAGGTTCTGGGTCCATTTTCAACAAAAGTTCAATTTGGGGAGTGGGCAAAGAAGTTAAGAATTGATGTCCTTGTTTAAAGACTAATGAAGATGATGAAGAGAGGAACTGTCCCCTCTCAATCAGTCACAGCCTCTCCACCACATGCTTAAGAAGATCTTTCTTACCTGCCTTGGTCTAGAGTCCAGTGGTCGGCAAACTGCGGCTCATGAGCCACATGCGTCTCTTTGGCCCCTTGAGTGTGGCTCTTCCACAAAATACCGACTTCTGCGCATGGGGCCACGAAGTTTCAATCGAACTGTACATGCGCGCCCGCACGGGGTATTTTGTGGAAGAGCCACACTCAAGGGGCCAAAGAGCCGCATGTGGTTCGCGAGACGCCGCAGTTTGCCGACCACTGGTCTAGACGCTTGGCCCAGACCACTGGCCCCAGAGTTGGGCTAGGATTACTGTCGTCTCTGTGTCTCTAAGGAAAGGTAACATTTGTAAGGCCATATGCTTGTTGACTTTTGTTCAGAGGGGGGTATTCCATTTGGACATGGTTCCAAAGTTACTCTTGATACAAGGCTACCATGAAAAATGGAAAGACAATGGCACTAAGTATATCTTTACCCATTAGGGGCTGTGTACAGACTCTGAACCTAGTATTTTGAGACAAAGAAGATCCCTGGGGCTAGAAATAATGGCTCAGATATGATTTTTTCCCCCTCTGCCAACATGGTATAAATTTAATTGCCATAAGGCCATCAAATAACAATCCAATGATTCTGCTTTCTCCATAGGTAACTTGTCTCCATGATTTCTTTGGTGATGACGATGTATTTATTGCCTGTGGTCCTGAAAAATTTCGCTATGCTCAGGATGACTTTTCTCTGGATGAAAATGGTAAGCACAGTCACAGGATTTTATTGCTCTATTGGTCTCTCTCATTATATTCCTTAGGGTTTCCATGGGTTCATATGGCCTGGAGCACATCCATTCATGCTCTCTAAGGGGAAAGTATTGTTAGTCTTTCTCCGGTATTTTTGGAAACATGAGTCACTAAATGAAAGGTTAATTGGATGTCCCAGATACCCACCATCCAAACTCAATAAGACTCACTCTCTACCCCAACAGTGACCATATTTCTTAAACCACATATTGTGTCACATGGGCTGACAGGTACAATCAGACCATGGTAAGGAACATTTGGATATTCTATGCATGCATTTTTTTCTAGTCAACACCTCTAGCTATTTGACCCATGTTGGTGATTCTATCTTAGATTTCCCTCTGTTTTCTTACTATAAAAACTTTCTCCTTTAATCACCTTGGTTTGCTGCCCCATTCCCTCTGCATTTTGACTCAAGAGTCCAGAGGGTTGTTAATCTCAGGAAGGAGGTGAAACATCTGCCCATCTCCCTTTTCTGTGTCTAAGCTCCAGATGTAAATTAATGTAATTTAACTCGTGCAACATCAGGTTTAGGATATGATCCTAATGGAAAGACACATTCAAAAAAGATGTTTCCCACTTATAAGGAATAAGGTGTGAGAAAAACAAACTGAGTTGTACTAATGCAGACTTTACAAACAACTTAAATGACAAGGACCCTGAAAGAGGTGGCATTTCTACTTTGTTTCCTTTGAAAAGAGGCAAATGACCATAAAATAGCAAAACAAATTCCAGGCTATGACCATTTTCCTATGCCTTCTATATCTTCAGCTCTGGACAGTGATAATTGAAGTTTATCAACCAAAACAAGAATGAGCTTTCTGCTTAATTGAGTTTCCTAAAATAATCTTAATTTACCAGAAAAGATCCACTATTCTTTCTGGGTAAATGATATTTCAATGTATCTTTAAGTAGAAGGTGATGAGGAGGTATCTAAAGAAAAAACTAACCTTTGTCAAGCTGTTCGTTTCTACTCTGAACAGCACAAGGTTGGAAAATCTATAAAATAGAGTGGGAAGAGCACTAGACTGGGATACAAAATACTTGGCTGCTAGTGCTTGTTCTGCCATTTCTTGCTTTGTGGTCCTAAGCAAGAGGCTTAAGCTTTTTGTATTCTTATCGGTAAAATTAGTATAATAGTCCTTCTAATACATTAGCACAATAAGTGTCCCAAATTGCCATAAGAGAGGTGCTGAGTGACCTAAATAGAAAGGGTGCTCCAAACATGTCAAACTGGGGTTGGTGCAGTAGCAAGGACATTTGGCAGATTCTCCCACACACCCACTAGCTTTCTGTACGTTCCCAATGGCAGAGTCACTGCTGGCCTGTTTATTCATTAAATCAGCAGAGGGGGTTATGATAACGTACATGCATTTAAACTAAAAAAACACACTCTATAGATGCAAGGTGGTGGTGGTGGTGGTAGTGCTTATTTATAAAATCACATGACATCCTAAATATGCCTACCACGATACATGACATGTAATAAACAATAAAGTTTAAATTACTCGTAAATGTTTCATCTGTGTGATTACAACCTCTAAGCTGGCAATCTCTTTTCCAAGGATATTAATTATATCAACAGGTGCTATTCTGAGATATGAATGGCTTGTCCACAAATGATTGGGTTAATTAATGACCTATCCAACCTGCTTCTTAACTCTTTCCCTTGTTTCCATAATCCAGGGATGTAAACATCTGGTTTAGCCCAGGTGACTTTTGAAAGTTTATCTACTGCCTCCCTCTCCAGAGACAGCATTTTTTCAAAAAACTGAGGATCACCTTTTGGACCTAAGCCATTCGGTGCTTTGACCTGTGCTGGTTATTCTAGCTTCCAGAGGTTGTTAATATGCTCAGCCTCGGTCCGCCCCTAGCTCCAGTAAGCTGTCTGTGTCTTTTTCCACCAGAATGCCGAGTCATGAAAGGAAACCCTTCAGCCACAGCTGGTCCAAAGGCATCCCCAACACCTCAGAAGAGTTCAGCTAAGAGCCCTGGCCCCATGCGCCGGAGCAAGTCTCCAGCTGACTCAGGTAACGACCAAGACGGTGAGTGTTCTTCTCTTAACTGTGTCTAATGACTTCATTTACAGAGGCCAGTACCCCTGCATGAAGAGGAATGAGTCCCTCATGAACACCATTGTGTCTCCATGATACCAATTGTATGAATTCAGAGTCTAAACAATTCAATTTATTTGGAATCATGGAGGCACACACATGGCCCTGATTCTACTCAAGTGGATGCAAACCAGAAATCTGGCCTATTTCCATGCTTACTGTAATGCTTATTGTTGTGGTTGTCTTCATTGTCATCATCTTTGACATCATCCAGCAAAAGCATAGTAATGAAATAATCGTCACACATAAATTTGAAATAAAAAATCAGAAAAAACCAAGAATTTAAAAAATGCTACCTAAAAGTGTAAACATAATTGATGCATTTGAGCTTCAAATTTGACTTTAAACTATATAGAATTCAAAACGAAAAGAGAAACAAGATATATTGCATTATTCTCAAAATTAGAAAAGAAAATATAAGCCAGGTTCTGAAATGAAACAAAGAGATTTGTCATATAGGATTTTATCTAGTGGATAGTAAGTGATCAAAAAAAATGTGGTCTATGGATCCCTGACAACCCATGAACAATTTATCACTCTATGATGAGTTTAGGAGCTTGTGCTAAATGTAAATCATGCCATTGAGCAACCCATTTACTTCAGCTGACTCTTTTTTTCATAGCATGATTTTACTGATGAAAGCAGGAATATGTTGGTTTATGTTCTGGTACGAAGTCTTATACCAACAGTTTGAGTGACACTGATCTAAAAGGGAAAAGGCCACAGAAGTCTGAGCTTGGAAGCTTAATAGACTCATGTACAGACAATTTGAGTTGTTCATGGTAAGGAAAACATATGGTCCTGAGGAACTCACACAATTATCCTCTCAAGGCTCGGGGATTACCAGGAGAATTCTAGCTTGAGAACCTTGGAGCAGAAAGCACAAGCACCTTTTCTCTCTCCTTCAATTTGCTGGAGCAGCCTATTGGCTTGAAATGCCTGTAGTCTAGAAAACCAGCCTGTCATGCTGGCCTCACAACGCTAGAAATATGCATGTCACTAGTCATCTCTTTATTTGCAGGAAGAAGGAACGAAACTGTGAAGAGGCATTTTAGGCTTTCCATACTTCCATATGTTTGCACATGTTGTTCCCCTGCACCTGGAATGCCACCCCTCTAGTAAACCACTCTTCTTTGCTTGAAAATGCCTATTCATCCTTCAGTACCTCAAAAAGATAGTTGTTCTGTTCTCTGAATTATCATAGCATGCATAAAGTATGTATTTACCTGTTTACTTCCCCAACTAAATACTGGGCCCCTCAAGAGCCAGGTGTCATGTTCCTTTTTGTATCTTCAGTGCCTAGCACAGTGCCTGGCCCCTCGTAGATGCTCAGGTAATGCTTATGAATGATTAGACGCACAAGAGCACCTCTTTCACCTGGCATGGTGCTAGAGATGCAGTAAGCATTTAGGTAATGTTTGCTGAAGGAATAAAAATGCATGTGTTTGGTGATATTTTGGTTAAGTTTACAGAATAGCACATGAATCCATTTAAACAAATTCATATTGTTCAAACTACAAAGACCTAGATTTTAACACTTGGATTGAAAATGAAATTGTTTGTACATATTCTAAGCAAAGTCTTGCAAAAATGATTTCAAACACTTTATCAAGATTATAAAGTCTGGCAATAATCACTTAGCCAATCATTTTTTTTTGAAATATCACTGGTTATTTCTGAGCCTTCTAACCTGTATTATTACTTATTTCTTGCTATGAAACAAATTGCCCCAAATCTGAGTGGCTTAGAAAATATACATTTTTATCTCAGTTTCTGTGGGTCATGAATTTTGTGTGGCTTAGCTAGGTGGTCCTATCTGGCCCAGGATCTCTCCTGTAGTTGTAGTTAAGGTATAGGTTGGGATTGTAGTCATCTGAAGGTTCAACTGGGACTGTAGGATCCACTTCCAAGATGGCTTTTGCAAGATCTTCACCCAGACTGAGTGATTCAAGATAATGAACAAAGCCCCAAACTGTCACATCTTTTGTAGTCTATTCATTAGAAGCAATAGCTAAGTCCAGCCTACATTCAAGGAGAGGGGAATCAGGTTCCAACTCTTGCAGGGAGGAGTATCAAATAATTGATGAACCTATTTTTAAACTAGCACACAACTCATGAGTTAGAAATGCTGAGGAAGCAGCAGCTTGAAGTAAAAGGGTTTTCTTCAAAGACTGTATCCAATTGTGTTACACGGCACACATGAACACAACCACTTGTAATTAAACACAAGTTAAGCATGTCAAATCATTGATCATCAGCATGCTACCTACAGAATTTCCCTTCTATAAAAAATGCATGTCACTGATTCCAAGATATTAGAGACAGAACAGAAATGCATAAGGACTCAGTGAATATTTGTCAAACTGAAAGGAGTAATACTAGATCCCAACCCAAGCTTTGTTCGCAAGATATGTTCTTGCTCCTTCAGAACTCACTTGCTAAAGGGAAGGAATGAGGATATAGTCACACATACAAAATAAACAGAGTAAAGAATTTGAGAAGGGAAATGGGGACTTAACTTGGCAGATTTCAGAATTACAAGCAGCCCCTATTCTCTTTCCCTACAAATATAAAATCTAAAGTGGTGTTCTCAGTAGTGAAAATTTAAATTTTCATTTCAGAGAGTTCATGAACATAAGTGAAGCTTAACTCCAGTCTAGTCAGCATCCTTGGAAATTTCCAGAACATTTGGCTTCATCTCAAATGATGGTCTAGGGCAGTGGTTCTCAACCTGTGGGTCGCGACCCCTTTGGCGGTCAAACGACCCTTTCACAGGGGTCGCCTAAGACCATCCTGCATATCAGATATTTACATTACGATTCATAACAGTAGCAACATTACAGTTATGAAGTAACAACGAAAATAATTTTATGGTTGGGTCACAACATGGGGAACTGTATTTAAAGGGCCAGAAGGTTGAGAACCACTGGCCTAGGGCCTTCACATGATTTCAGCCCCAAGGAGTAAAATGATCTATGTTATATAACCTTGCCTATTACATTGCAGTTTGTTTGGAGCTAAGTTCAGAGAATCCAGTCAGTGAACATTCCATGGGGCAAAATGACCTCAGGCAAAACAGTATTTTAGATAAGGTTTGGATTTGACATAGTTGTACAATAGCTTCCATTGAATCAGAATCATAGAACCAGAAGGATGAGGTATAGCCAGCACAATTTTGCATTAGTGAAAATTTACCCTTACAGGCATTGAGAAGAAATAATTATTTCATAGTGTCAAGAATTTTCTGAGCTGATAGTAAGGGACATATGTAGGTTAATATACATTTAACCAAAGAACATTACCATTGGATAAGTCTGATATGCTTTTTTTTTCTAGAATATGTTAGTACCACCCTGTTTCCATTCTATGTTAGTCTGTCTTGAATCTGGGACTTGTGGATGGATTCACATTCCTTCATTTAACCTGAATAACTAAAAGTTGTGGAAGATAAGCCACTTCCAAGGAATTTTAACTACCTTCCTTTGATGGCAAATGAAAGCAAAAAATGTTCCTCTTTAACAGGGACTCAAACCAAATGAAACATTGGCTCAGTTCAGTTTCAGTTAAAGGAATGTTTTGATGTTCTAGTTCATTAGAAAATATATAGGTTTGATTCCGGTTTGAACAAGTTTGATTGATTTTTCAAATATATATATTTGGTCCAATTCATGGTTCAGTTAATATCTAGGTTCAGTTTGACTTGAGGTTTAGTAAATTGATGCTATTTGGTCTGTAATTTGCGTCATAATTTGAATCCTTATTCCTTACTACTTAATTGTCTCTTTCCTGTTCTGCCTCTGAATATATCAAAATCCTTCTACTTTATTCCCTTTGAGTTCAATCCCTATCTACTTATGCCAATACTGAGTTTGCCCCACATGGAATGTCTGTTGTTAAGTCCTGAATTGGAGTTTAGGAAAGATTTACTATTATATTGCTATAAGGAGCTCATTCTCACTGGGCATAGATGATGGACTCAGACTCCAAGTCCTGTTAGCCATGTCTGTATTTAAAGTAAGCCAAAGGACTGTGGTCAGCAGAGAATATCTGAGCCCAGGAGGCTCGCTTCTATGGGATTTCTAAAGAAAACTTGTGTAGTGCCAGCCACATTTGCCATTTTAACCCAAGACTTGCTATTTTGATGGAGTAGAGGTGAGCTTGGCTTCAGAACTAAAGGAAGACATTTCTAGTGTGTCTATTTCCATTTCTGCCATTAATGTGCTATTTTTTCCCTTCATGCAACTAGCTCCAATTGAATTAAATTAAAAGGACAAAGTTGCTGGGAAGGAATCTTTACTCTTCCTTCCTTCCTTCCTTCCTTCCTTCCTTCCTTCCTTCCTTCCTTCCTTCCTTCCTTCCTTCCTCCCTCCCTCCCTCCCTCCCTCCCTTTTCCTTTCCCTCCTACCATCCCTCTCTCC